CAAGGAGAAGTGGAAGTGGGAATGTCCTGGGGTAGGATCCAAGGAGAAGTGGAAATGGGAATGTCCTGGGGTAGGATCCAGGGAGAAGTGGAAGTGGAATGTCCTGGGGTAAGGTCCAGGGAGAAGTGGAAGTGGGAATGTACTGGGTAAGGTCCAGGGAGAAGTGGAAGTGGAATGTTCTGGGGTAGGATCCAAGGAGAAGTGGAAGTGGGAATGTCCTGGGGTAGGGTCCAGGGAGAAGTGGAAGTGGAATGTACTGGGAAGTCCAGGGACAAGCCTGATACTCACCTGTAAGTAGTTATGTGTAAATAGATAGTAAATTGGTTGATGGCTGATTATCATTCACCTGTGGTAATATCTCATCTTCCGACTGTTCATTTTGATCACAATCATGATAGTCTGGAGTTTATACCAAGTAAAAGCAATTTTCAGAGATATTTAGCATTTCAATTTAAGGATAAGATCATTTGAAATTTAAATATATTTCCTTATTTATATATTTACCCTTTGCATTTGTCGTGCAGTTTATTATTCTGGCAGCTGTTAATTATGAGCATAAGGCTGCAGGTGCATTTACTGAAATGTGTCTGCCAACACTTCATAAAACACGTTTTTGTTGGTTTATTGTCTATGACAAACTTTATTTGATTATGTCCCAAAACTGCCTGTGCAATTACTTTAAAGCTGGGTTATGCAAACCCTATGACTAAAATGAGTTAATCATTCCCTTGCAGGCTGATTTGTAAAGCTGAACCATTCCATGTAAGATCATGGTTGACCAGGTTCATCATGCACCTAGACTGAGTTTGCTTCAGCTCTTAAAGCCCTCTAATGCAATATGAAGAGATGCTACAGTGACTACTTCATAGACAGTAAATGATGGTTTGGTCTAATTACTGCAGATGAGTCACACCTCTCCGGCTCAGGAATGGACACAACAAGGTTCGATGTTCCCAAAGAATGGAGTTACTGTGTACTCACAGTGGTGTGACTGTCAGACCTCATTCTTTCCTTCCAGCACAAAACATTTGTAAATGTATGGAGAATAAATTAAAATGCTCCATAGATCACTAGTGGTTTCTGCTTTGCATGCAATGAAAGGTCTTCTTTCTTCTGTGTCGCTTATAATCATTAGTTTTATATGAAACCATGTGAACAGTTTGCAGATAGAAAAATGCTTTCTGGTAAATGCGTCAAACTGCAGACTTTCACCTTTCCAGGAAGGATATGTCACTTTCCATGTTGTTTCAAACAAGCTTCACACTCCAGTATTATAGTACCTGTTAGTGATACAAGGTAACTCAGTGGGTAACATTATCACTTCCCATCACTGACTCTGGGGTTCAAATCAGGAACTGTTTGATGTTTTGTGTACTGAGAGTTTCTAATGTCTGATCACAAAGTGGTACAGAGATCTCCACAGCATTCTCCTGAGCAGTGCTGCTGAGTGTGTAACTCATTCATTGTTATCATGTGGTGTGACTTGGTGTTGACCAGATCTCAATAAGGTTTATACGGGGTAATAATACCAATGTAACGGAATCACTTTACACACCGGCCCTTTAATGACTAGCCAGTGGCGAGAACAAAGCACATTACATTTTTCCAATTAATTAGAAAGTTCTTTCTTCAATGTTTAAGATCCAGTTGCTGTAATTATTTTTAGAAAAATTGCTTCATAATTGAACAGAATGTCTTGCCAGTGGTGAGCCAATGCCTTGGGACACAAACAGCCACAATAATATCTTAAACAAGGACCCAGCTAGCAGTGTGTGGCTGAGTGGTCTGAGCCTCTATGCCTGTGATCAGCAAGTCACTGGTTCAAGCCGGGTCTCAGCATGTCTGTGGGGTCTTGAGTAAGAGCCCTCAGCTCTCGAGGCACCACAACAAGTGGGTGTCCGTGGCATCTTGCTTGCTCTCACCTATAGAGATTGAGTTGGAGGAGGTGTAAAAAGAGTTTCCCCATGGGGATCAATAATGTATCTATTATGATTTGTTCTGTTTTCTGAGTGTGTTGTAGCCTCCCACCTCAATCACTGGGGGCAGGGGTGCTGAATTTGGGCCCCATGAAAGCATATTATATTGGGCCCCCAACACAGATCAATCAGAATATGTTCCAATTTTTTTAGGGCCGCAGTCACTCAGGGGCCTCATCATCATCAAATCATCATAACTCTCCCCGATTTCATGGCGCCCCTGACCGTGGGTCGTGTTCTTGCCGCAGCTATGTGTCTGTGACATAAGAACATAAGAACATAAGAACATAAGAAATTTACAAACGAGAGGAGGCCATTCAACATGTGCATGTTCTCCCTGTGTTCAAAGATGTGGTTTAGCTGGATTAATGTCTCTAAATATTCATTAGTGTTTTTGTGCTGTGAAATTGACAGGCATTCTATATTGTACTCAACTCTGTGCTTCCCAGGACAGTCTTAGATGTATGCATAAGTGATATGAGAATTATACATACTTTCCCTTTAAGGAATAGTCATACTTTATATTTTGATTTATTGACCTTTGTCTCCATCCCTCAGACACCCTCAGGAGAATGATGCCAAACTAGGACACAAATTAATAGCAGAAATCTTGTCAAAGAAGATTTGACACATGCAAGAGTGGTCTGAAACAATGTGTTATTATTCTAGTTAAACCCAGCCTGGGTCAAAAAAACAAAAAAAGACAAAAGGAACAAATGAAAGAGAGAACCCCAGGGACTGAAGAGGGGATTCGGTAAGATTTCCAGAGTGTCCTGACTGGATATGAACACTCTGGAAGTTTCTTCGGCTTATGATTTTCTTGGTCAATGTCATCACAGTTGATCGCTGGAATTTGATGGAAGTAGTGTTGAGCTGTAACTATTGTCCACACATATGGTGGGGGGGGGGGGAGTTTGACTTCACGCCCAGGTCTTTGTCAGACTGTCCCCCTTGGGGGGGGGGGGGGGTCCAAACAGATGACTCCTGGCAAACTACAAAGGACCCCCTTTTTGAGTCACTGCAACACACAAGATGTGGCATGCACTGGCACTGTGACGGGTAGCCCTGTGCTCTCGAATGTGACAGCTGTCGCGGGATATGAGTCCATGCTGCTATCTAGCCAATATTCACAGGGATTAAGGGATTAAGGGCACAGGGAGAGTAAAAATATTACCATGATTTTACTGCTAACTATAAAAGAAAATTACGTGTCTAATGGTCAAGCGTGATCTTTACCAACGCACAAATCACCCCCAGTAAGACTGCATAAATCTGTTTGACTTTATCCTATAAACTGTGCATACATGTACTTTAACGTGCAACCTGTGAAGTTTAATGTAGAGCGACCAACTAGAATGAAAAATGATTACTGATGCATATAAAACATCATACAGATGGCCGTTAACAACAAACTGCAATTTATTTCTTTCAAAAAAAAGAAACAAACTTGATGCATCAAAACATGCGTCATTTCCAGATGTAATATTTACTGCTGGGTACTGCTGGTCCTTCCACCTACGGAGTTGGGCATGTGTGATGCTAACAACCTCCCTTGTCGTCCAATTGTCCTCTGGAAATGCACAGGCATTCAGTTGGGTGAACTGCTGTTTCTACATAGCCCATAGTATGTGTTTGCACCCAGTGATGGACTGGCATGCCACCCAGGGTGTACCCTGCCTTGTGCCCTAGACTGCCTGGGAATAGTTCCAAGAAGTCTATGTAACCCAGTCCTGGATAGGTGATTGGAGGATGGATGGATGAATGGATGGATGGAATATTAAATTTCATATAGAAATGAATTGATTCAACTGTCAAAAAAAATTGTTTTCAAAAAACCTTCAAAAAAAAGAAAACTTAAACATAATGTGCACACAGAAATGTCAGGTTCAGAGGTCATTGTCTGCCGACTTGTGACATTTATTCTTGCAGGAATGTTTCTGAGTAACAGTACAAAAAATAGGATGAACATTTGTAGATTAAATGAAATTACATCAAACACAAAGGCCATCTGTGTGAGTATTATGTGTGAGTTACGGCAGCAGGAGCCGCTCCCAGTGTTACACAAATGTAGACATAGACCACATTTGTTTTATTTGAATGTTTAATGTTTAATTCTTTTTATGCTTAGTTTCTCAGAAGCCATATTCAATTTTGTGTTGGTGCGCATATCCCTTCTAAATGAATTTAGACGGCATTTAAAGAAGAAACAAATCCTTGAGCAGCCTCGCGCACGCAACAGAGGATCTGGTGCGTAGACGGCTCAGTTCCCTTGACACTGCTTAGAGGTTCGTTCATGTCGGGAGGGATCACTTTGCCTCGCTGTTGGTTCCAGCTTGGCTCAGGAGACTGGGGGGGGGAGTGTTTTACTGCCTGGTGGATTTGCCCTGACCTTTCGCTTTATTTTTTTTTCTGGCATTGCCTAGAGCCAGGCTTGAGCGAGGGGTCTATTACGCTGAGCTGGACAGCTGTGCGATGCTAGTGGGGCGAAGGCATTGTGGCGGGCAAGACGTCACGTTCATGAGGTCCTCCGACACGTCAGGGCTGGGACGGATGGCAGGCACACCTGAGCATCTGATTCCCTGATTCCACTTCTTGATTTTGCTGAAAATTTAAATGCACATAAAATAAGCATTTGCACTGTTACAAGTAATTGTTGTGCTTATGCGTACTTGTAAGTACTCATGCAAGCAGCTGCAAGCGGTGCCTCTATATGGACATTAATAAAATGAAGGCAATATTTAAGTGAATCGCCTTCAGAAGCTGCCCAAACCTTTAATGAACTCAGGAGAGTCCAGGCCGTTGCGGAAGGTGATTTCAAAACTTCACCAGTGTGCGAGTGAGTGATGATGCTTCCAGTTTCATTCTGAGGATTGGGAGCTAAAATTAGGCTCATTCTGGATGCAAAGCAGCCCATAAGCAGAAGGTGTTTGGAGGGAGGGAGGGAAGGGAGTCAAATCAGGCTCAGCCTTGCATCCCATGAGGAGTCAGTGTATAGAATGGCACTCCTTCATGGGGAGGAATGTGTCTCACGTGACTCTAATTTCCTGACCTAACACAGTAATAGAGACCTTTACTTCAAGCATGCTTTTATGTTTAACTACATGTAAACATACTGCACACTGCTTATACTGTTCTAAAAAGAAAACAAGATGCAATGATCACAAATTAAGGCTGATAGCGTTCTTGATTTTGTTAGTGCTTCAGTAAAAAGGCTCTTTGTTAATGCACTCTGAAATGTTTGTATGATTTCTTTATGGGGGTGTGTTACAATGCTATTTCATTGATTGGAAGGTCATCAGTTCAAATCTCGTGGTTGGCAGAGTGATTTCTCTGAGAAAGACCCTTAAGCCCAGCTACACCAGTTACTGGCTAACTCTGACACATAACGATACATACTTTGTTTTGGATCAAAGCATCTGCTTACTGAGCAGATGTGCATTCCCTAGTAATTAAGCCCACAATCTTTATTTTGTTAGCACAGTGCTATATTTGTGTGTCTGCAGGAGCTACTAAGCAAAGGAAAATATAATGAAATCTTGGAATTGCTATTAAAACTCCATCACCTTAATTATGGAAGCAGCACTGAATCCCCTATCTGCCACAAGTTCTTACCAGCACAAGGTGCCACTCATGCAGACCAGTGTCCCCTGTCCGGATGCTGATGGCAGGTGAGCTGTCCCCCATACACACAGGCCACCCGACCCATCTGTGTTAAGTGACAATGGACACAAGGGGTCCTTGTGGGCCACAGAGAAAATCCCCTCACCTCTAAGTATGGCACGGACACCTGGTATCTCTATAAAAAGAGGAGCATCGACAGGTGTTGCAAATCTAGTTTCTCCGTCTCATTTGCCCATATGTCACTGTTCTGTCTGTCTGCTGGCTGCTGTCTTAAATCCCCTGAAAAATATGCAGCAATGGCAACCAATGGGCCCACTCTCCACATTAGCCTTTCCAGACACCGGATATGGGATATCTTAGTCTCTGTTAATCTAACTAGTCTCTATTATTATCCATCTGATGCAGTGGCTTGTGGCTCAGCAGGTTAAGGTCTGTGTTAAGTGCCTGTTATTGGAAGGTTATTGGTTCAAACTCCATGGTTGGGTGAGTGGTTTTACTGTTGTATGTTGCTTTGGATAAAAAGAATGCTAAATAGATAATCCTTTCACAGTCTAATAAGACACCGAAAAGACACACTTTAAAAGACTGGGATCTATAATGTTGTCACAACCAGTTTTAGTTCATTGAAAAACACATCCAAGTTCTTCCATGCATAGAAGAAGAAAATCCATTGCATGACATTCTGTACCACAAGGATATTGATACCTGGACGTAGCAGTTTGCAGCTCTGTGTACCAGAGACCTCGTTCTTGGGTAATGAAAGGAATGGGAATGAGACTTGACTGGAAGATGATTACATGATCACCAGTCTGGATATGGTAGATTCACCTCTAATCATGCATAATTTGCAAGCTTGAGTCAAACTTTGCTGTTTTTTCCAGGTTTTTCTGCAGAGGTGTCATTCCTGGGAGCAGCAGAAAAACAAACTCTATGTCAATGGATTTAATTCAGGAAAAACAACAGGAGGAAACTCTAGTCCATGTCACACCCGTGTGTTTTTTTCTAACTTTCTGCTCTTGCTAAAGAAACAGTGAGAAAATGTTACGTTGAGGATATGAAAGACATGATTGGGAAATAAGGGCATAGCTGATGGGGGGGGCAAATACCAGAGAGACAGAACCGGTCCTTTTACAGAGAGAAGAGAGAAAGGCATTTGTTTTTGGAGCAAGCCTTGTTCCAGACTGTCATGTTTCTTCATTCTCTCCATTTGTTTGTTTGGCCTTATATCCGTAATATGCGTGACCCAGTCCAGCTGAAAACCCGAGGGCAGCTAATCAGGGGCATGTGTTACCCCGCCTGCCAGTCTTCCTTTGAGGTTTCAGCAAATGCAGCTATGACTGGTAGCCATATACACAGGCTGCTGACACAGAATGAGCCACCAGGGGCATTATGACAGCAGATTGAAGGAAAAGCCTACTGTCAAGTCATATATGACAACACGGCAGAGCGAGTGCTGCCTAATTCCTGTGGATCATGTCAAGGGGCAAGTCCTCTGGAGGAGATTCATTTTTTATGTTCTGTAAGGCACTTCATAGGCCTATGAGATTGACGGTTCATGTCATTCTTGCGACTGCTAGTTAGGCTGTCCCAGATGTGCCAACTTGCATTTAAAAGACCAAACAACTTTATTTCAATGTTATTTAATAACAATCTTGGCTGAAAAATGGTCACTTCTGGAGTTGAGTCCTGCTGTGGAAGACAGCACAGCAGAAAGTATCTGGGTAAATAAGTCCTCACTTATGGTTGCCCAAGGACTGATAACCTGTTGGTAACCCAGACTTATCTTTGACAGGAACATGGTCTTCAGTTCTGATCTTCACACCTTCGCCAGAGTGACATGTGATTAACTCCATGTGGCTGAGACCAGAAGCAGAAGATAGTGTCTTTCATAAGGCATTATGGACACTTCTATCTCTCTCTCTCTCTCTCTCTCTCTCTCTCTCTCTCTCTCTCTCTCTCTCATTAATCTCCAATTATCTATCTCATCCTATTTCTGTCCCTTAATTCTTTACCAAAAATGTACTACATGATTCATTCCATAATTAATTTTGTCATGTACAGTAATATTACTAAATTAAAGTTTTGTAACCTTTATGAAATATTCCATACTTGAATTTAGGTTGGTTTAGTTACTGACTCTCAGAATCTAATTGGGATGTAAATGTATGTGTGTAAATGTGTGTAAATGTGTGTTTTTTGGTGTCTATGGTAAAATCTGTTAGCTTGTGGGGAAATTTTTCAGGTCCCCACAATATAAGTCTCTATTTTATAAACATCTGTGAATGCAATAAAGAAAAAAAATGCCAAAAATCTTCTATTCTGTTTAGTGACTTATGGTTAAGGTTAGGGTTGGGTAGGGGTTAAAAGTGTCATACTTGGGGTTAGGGTTATGCCTGGAGAAATGAATGGAGAGCTGCCACAATAATACGAATTAGGAGTTGTGTGTGTATGTAGGTGTGTGTGAGCGTGTGCATTTCTTTGCACGTGTGCATCATAAACATGTGTCTCAGCAAGTGTAGCTGGCGTGTGCGTGTGTTTGGTGTGTGTGTCTGTGTGTTTAGTGTGCGTGTGTTTGGTGTGTGTGTCTGTGTGTTTAGTGTGTGTGTCTGTGTGTTTAGTGTGTGTGTGTGGGTATATCTGTGGGTGTGTTTGGTGTGTGTGTCTGTGTGTTTAGTGTGTGTGTGTCTGTGTGTTTAGTGTGTGTGTGGGGGTATATCTGTGGGTGTGTCTATGTGTGTGTGTGAGCGGGTTTTCCTATCCTTATGGGGACATAATGTCCCCATAACGTGATAAATAAACCGGTCCCCATAAGGGAAAACTTTCATAAAAATCGGTGAGTGCTATGAAAAAACTAAAAATGCAAAAACTCTTGTATTTTGTTAGGTTACTTATGGTTATGGTTAGGGCTGGGTGGGGGTTAAGGTTGTCATAGTTAGTGTTAGCATTTATCCCATTGAAATGAATGAGTGGTCCCCATAAGGATATGTATACCCTACATGTGTGTGTGTGTGTGTGTGTGTGAGTTCAGGACCACAATGTGAAGCCTTATAAGGCCACCAGCTGCTGTAGGACAGCAGACTTTATCTCCAGTGGCTCTTTGGAAGTTCTGTATTTATAGCTCTTCTGGATAAAAAGTCCGGTTCTGTCCAGACAGGCCCCTATTAGCCCATCCATTGGTGGAGTGATCTGATAAAGCACAGCTTAGAGTGACCACTGTCGCGCTGCGCTCACTCCGGACACGCGGCTCCTGAGGACATCGCCGCACGGTAAGCCTCCCCCCGCCCCCCCCTCTCTGCATCTGCTTTCGCCATCTCCCCGTCTAAACATCTGCTGCTAATGTTTATTCACTTCTGCGTCTTTGCATGTTTTACCTGGTCAGTTATGCTTAAGAAGCAGGCTTTGCTGCGTCCTGGACGTGTCAATGTTCATTTGAAAAGACAGAACAATTTACATCTCTGGAACTTTACTAACTTTAAGTTCACTAACTTTCATATTCCTGGACCCCCCATGACCTTAAAGAGGTTAAGTGGTGACAGAAAATGGATGGATGGAACTTTCATATTGTTTTCATAAATTGTATTTTATTTTATGTTTGTTACCTGTGATGGGTTGGTGCCCCGTCCTGGGTTATTTCCTGCCTTTGCTTCCGGAGCATTGGGAATACACTCCAGACTCCCAGAACCCTTCATAGAACAAACTGGCAAAGAAAATGGATCGATTGATGGTTATTATTTGCAAAATGTTAATTCACATTATATTATATTATATTATATTATAGTTCACTCAGTGAATATTTTGGCATACCTGACCATAACTAACAAAAAATTTTCACATTTAAAACTGAAGGACAGTGATTATTTTGCATGAAATGAGCAGTTCCTGATGATACATAACCCGTAACCTTACAGTGTGCTTTTATCCTCTTGGGGATACCGGCTATACGGCTGACTGCATTTGACTATGCTAGAAACCTTCCCTAGCCAAGGGAACCACAATCACTTCTATCAAAGCTGCTGACTGTATAATTGTTATTTGTTTTGTGTAACCTAATTCCACGAGTATATGATAAGTGAACAGGGTGAATTAAATAATGGAATTGCACTAAATTAGCTTTCAGACTAATAGCTCATTATTTTACTGCTTGAACTGTCTTCTAAATATTCTAATGTACATTTCCAGACGCCTACACAGACACTGTAAATAAATATTACTTGGTTCGGCTAAATATTAAATTTATCAGCATCCCAGCACTTAAATATAATGTGTAAGTTTAAGGTATATAAACCATTAATGTTATTTTAAGCAAATCAAATTGCAGCTGACTAGCTATTTCTACAATATATTCTGATAAAAGTTCATTTCCAGTGATTTTTATTTGTCTGCTCACCCTTATTTCAGGAGGAAAGAGTCAGTAATTTCTAGGGAAAATCTTTGAAAAGGCTGCTTGGGCCCCTCCCACATACACAGGATTCCCTACCGTGTCGTACTGGTGGAAAACGCAGTTAAATCGAGCCAAGATGTTAGCTGAGCCCCAGCAATACAACACAATGGGAACCGGGATGCTGTAGGCGGTCGGAACAATGCGCTGTCAGTTTTGTTGTCCTTTCTGCTGTGGCTACAATCTGTCGTTGGAGGTTCCTGAGTGGAACTTACGTCGCCTTTAATTAGCTTTGTGCGGGATGCCGGCTTGCAGGCCAAGTACGTGGCATCTGTCATAGTGTTGAGAGATGGTTGCTGATCGGGGGGGCATGTGGCACCCTTGGGATGATGATGATGTTTAGGAACGGCTGGTAGTACGCTAATCAGAGGGGTGGGGGGGGGGCAGCCCCAACTTAAGTCACAAAGCTGTGGATCGCTGTGGATAGGGTTAGCCAATGAGCAGCTGATGACAGGAGGCTCCGGCCTGCCCACCTCTTGACCACGCCCCCTCTCTCTCAGGGCTTTAGGATTCCCTTTCCTGCTTCCTGTTGCTCTTGACATTTCCTAGAGTGCAGATGTCCCTCCTCACTCTTGGGAGCACCGTAGAGATGCCGCCATAGAAACCACTTGTGACATTTTCATGCTTCTCTATTAATAACCTGAAAGCACTCAAAGAGTAAGTCACCCCGAAACAGACGCCGTGTCACAAAGCACAGCTCTGCCCATGGTGTCCTGGCAGAGGCAATGAAACAGCTTTTTCTCGGAAAGGATTTCTAGCTATGGAAGGCATTTCTTTTATAATTCAGACACTCCCCACTCCCCAATAATCCAGAAAGTTCTCTTCCTTTCCTTTCTATATATTATTAACAGAATTGATTAATTTCATTCTTTATTTTTGAAAAATTTTCATTCAGGGTTTGGATAAGTAATTCCAAAATATTTTATCGGTTGTCTTGAGAGAATTTAATTTAGTAACATAATTAAATGTAAATGTCTAAATAGCTTTAAATGTCCTTGTTCTCCATAAGTGTGTCATCAATTCAAGTTTGCCACTTAGGAGTAATTAACTTAATGTTTTTTTTTTTTATTTAAACAATTTTATTTGGGATCTCAGAGGAACGCATTATGTGAACCTTGGGCTGCGGCCCGCCTGGGGGGTGGGGGGGATCAGAATGGCATTTTCCAAAATCAGCTTAGCATGTCAGCTGCTTCTCTCTTGTGAAACTTTACTGGGCCCCCCAGCGAAGGTGGGCTGACAGGAACAGTCTGAACCTACCTTCTCAAAAATACATCACATTGGGTAAAAGCTTCTGTTAAATACATGAAGTGTAATGCTTCATGATCATCATCAGCTCCAGCAGCTTAACCCCTGAGTGCTTCCTATAATAAGACATCCTCTACCATCCATCCATCATCCAACCCTTTTGCTCTGAGCTGGGGCTCGGTGGATGGTGTAACTTAATAGTGTTTTTTCTTTCCAGAATTCCAGTCTGCTGGAATATCAGCATTACCTTAAAACAGCAAACCTTTCCTTTTGAACATTATTTTAAAGTATCACTATACAAACACAGGCAACATCAGGAAATCCCTATGAGAACATGGACTGGTGTCATCATCACCGTCCGTCTGGTGTGATGCACACAAATGATTTTGGGGGGTGGGGCAGGCAGCTTGATGCCAGATCTGAGGCCTGAATTGTGGTTAAATTCTTTGGTGGCCCATCTCACGACAATGCACTTGCTCGAGATGGACACCCACCAAGAATGAACTGGGCGACTCAGGCGGGGGGTATGAATAACAGAATAAAATAAATGATAAAAGTCAGTTGTTTGGTTTTATTTTTTTTGGGGGGGATGAATTACTGACGTAAGAAAGTGATAAATACGCCACAGGAAACATGAAGTGTGTATGTTGCCAGTTAAGACTGGGGGAGAGAGAGAGAGAGAGGGGGAGGGAGAGAGAGAGGGGGGGAGGTTTCTCGGATTTTACCTCCTTATATGGTCAAACCACGGAGGGAATTCTGAGTGCGAAACAGCCGTTGTGGTGCTCATTGAGAGACGGAGCATCCCGGGAGCCGCTAGCCCAGAGAGGGGCCACGACAGTCGCGTGGGCTTGGGCTGCTGGATCTCACATCAGGGCAGGCAGGGCGAGCAGCCAGGATCCCCCCGGGAGGGAAGCGGTCACGAACGTGAGTAGCGATGGCAGTGGTGTGACATCACCCTGTGCTGTCGTGGTTTCATTCCGTTAGTAATCATCCTGACATTGATGGAGGAGAGCGGGACGAACCAGTGAGCGAGCTGATTGGCTGTGAGATGCTCTTAGAGATATAGACTGGAGGGCAGACAGAAGCTCAGGGGCATTAGGGTACCTGGGGCAGGGGCAGTAATTAAACACTGCAGACAGTCCAGCTGTCTCCTGTAGCTCAATATGCTAAAAAGAGTTATTGGTTCAAATCCCAGGAAAATTGTAACACCTTTATCTACTGTAAGCCACTTTGGTTAAAAACGTTATGTAAATTATGTGTTTGCTGTATATAAATAAGGAAAGCAAACTAACCAAACCGTATCACAAACAAATTGTGACCATTTCACATTTTATGACATTTTTTTTTATTGATACTGCATGTCTTTTATAATACGATAATAGCTGATTATTTAATTTTTTCTCCTGATGTGCTTTAAGGCTATTAAATGAATCAGCCATTATGGGGAATCCCCCACACAATTATTTCCAGAAGCTAATAAAAATATAATATAATATAATATAATAAGTGTCTGTAGAGAATCCATAAAAGTCATGTGGGCTCATAGTGATGCTTTAAATTGAATGAAAGGCTGACATTGTCACCCCTCATAATCGCAGGCGAAGTCATCCCTGAGTCAAAATGACGGACCGCTTCGATTGCCACTACTGTAAAGAGTCCCTGTTCGGGAAGAAGTACGTCCTACGTGAGGAGAACCCGTACTGCGTCAAGTGTTACGAGAGCCTGTACTCCAACACCTGTGAGGAATGCAAGAAGCCCATTGGCTGTGACAGCAAGGTGAGCTGTTCTTAATACATCTACAGGCACTCTGGTGAGCCACACATTAAATCTTTGCAGTGCATTGCATTGATGGCTTTTAAATGATGCACTATATCAGGGCTGTTCAAATCACGGTCCTCAATTGCAGTGCTTTTGGACAAGCTGATCAACTTAGGCCCCAGAGCACTGATCAGCTACAAATCGCTATCAGTGGCTGCTTCAGTGGATAAAAAACGCACCTAATGTCATGGTAACACTTTACTTTGGTGGACACAAATAATGTAGTATTATGCTATTACTTATGTATTAAGTTTTAGTTACATACTTATCTCATGTTAAATCATCATTAATGAATCATGACACACCTTTTATTTCGAGCAGTTACTATATTTGTTACTATATCTGTTAATTCTGTAAACATTTGTGGTGGTATCAGATGGTTGTAACTTTAGCACTCACTAAACCCTCTTTGCGTTAAACCTGAAATCATATCTTAGTGGGTAATATTTTAAACTCACAGCTCCAGGCTTTGGGCTTTGAATTGCCCCCCCCCCCCCCGGCTCCATGTGTGTAGAATTCACATGTTCTATTTTAGTGTGAATTTCCTCCAGGTGCTCTGGTTTCCTGACAGCCCCAAAGCACGTGGCTAACCAAATTAGGGACTCGAAGTTGCCCTAAGAGAGCATACCTGTGTCCTGCAACAAACTAACATCGCATCCAGGGAGTCCCCTGCCGGACATCGCGGGCTTCCTTGTACAGACGCCAGACGCACCACATTGTGTATAAAGACGATGTCTGATGTTGGAAATGAAAGATGAGAGAAAGTATCGATGTTCAACAGAAGCAGGATTTTGTCTGTAATTATGTAGCATGTATTGGGCTTTGGAAATGACGCTGACAGATTTATCAGACCTTAATAGTATTGGACCTTCAGGTCAGCAGGCAGACAGCATCTTTAAAATCATTCCCTGCTAACTGCTAGGATCAAATTACGACAATTACTGTCACCGTAGTTGCATTATGAGGTAATCTGATCCTGTGAAGGTGCTCAGATCTCTTTGTGAAGATAATCTAGTAACCATGGAACTGGCGCCTATCAGCACCTCGTGATGTTGTCCTTCGCGCCGAGACCCTCACATATGACTACTGTCCTCATCAACTTAAAAAGCTCTGAAGCCCGATGTTGCCTCTTGGGGTCAGAACATTTCCCTGAGTATCAAGTGAAAGATGACATTTCTGTGGCTCTTTCAGCTCGGATAATTGCAAAGTAATCGGAGGGTAGGGTGAGGTGAGGTGGCTTAGGATACTATGCCTGAAGTCAGAAGGTCATTGGTTCAAGTCCCCTGGTTTGAGTGAGTTCACTGTTGAGCCCTTGAGCAAGGCCCTTAATCTACAGGGACCCTGCTTTCTGAGTTATATGTTGATTTGGATTAAAGGGTCTGCTAAATAAAATAAATGCAAAGTGGAATTGGTTTGGCCCACACACAGTCATATATACATTCTTCCCTACTATATATTTTTATGATCTGTACTGAGTCATACTAGGTCACTCATGTGTTTTTTTGTCAGTGAGCTTGCAGCCAGACCCCCACTAACAGAGCATGTGATCTCTTCCTCCAGGATCTGTCATACAAGGACCGCCACTGGCACGAGACCTGCTTCCACTGCTTCCACTGCAAACGGTCCCTGGCGGACAAGCCCTTCTCTACCAAGGACGAGCAGCTGCTGTGCACGGAGTGCTACTCCAATGAGTACTCCTCCAAGTGTAACGACTGCAAGAAGACCATCATGCCTGGTCAGTGAGCTCTGCCAGGGGAATGTAGAGTCACAGTGAGGCCTGGGGATGTGGGGTCACACTGAGGCCAGGGGAAGCCGGAGCTCACCTTCTTCGGCCTACTCCAAGGCCAAATCGCCCCAAAATGACCTCGATAAACAACATAAATCTGATTGTGGCATACCACAGACAAAATAATTTACAGCATCAAAGGTTTTGAGCAGCAAGATTTTAGTTAATTTGATGAGTAGATTTAATAAAAAACTTAAGGACACAATGAGTTTCAGCAAGTAATGGATTAAAACAAATATGCAGCAAGATTTAGTCTGTGGTATTATTGCAGATGCCAGAACATAATCTCACTATACTGCCCTACAAAGGCAAAACACAGTGACTACACTGACATGCAGACTAAGGAAATAGGCTTGAAATTGTTTTTACACTCCACCTATACGTGTTGTAGGAAGCATTTTCTTGAACACTGAGTATAACTGAACTGTGACATTTTGTCACAAAAGAAAAAACGAGTCTAAGAGACGCGATTTCAGTCATAGCTCAGTTTTGATAAAGTACGTAGTTATTGGATTTTACCTTCGTATGGCAGTAAACTTGTATGCATCTAGGACAATGAAACACTTCTGTATGTAGGCTTCATTCACAGTCTGAATGTCCCCCCACCCCTTTCCAACTGCCCCACGTCGATCTTCCCACAACGAGGCTCCAGGAAAATGGAGTACAAAGGCAACAGCTGGCATGAGACCTGCTTCAGCTGCCAGCGTTGTCAGCAGCCCATCGGCACCAAGAGCTTCATCCCCAAGGAGAACCACAACTACTGCGTGCCCTGCTATGAGAAGCAGTTTGCCATGCAGTGTGTGCAGTGCAAGAAGGTGGGGCCCCAGTGGAGAGGACCAGGGATGCATGTTAACAAGGCGGCCATTTTGGTTTAGCTAGCATGTTTACCACACATGATCTGAGATCAAATCCATCGCCCTATTGACTCTTTGCTGCGGAGTGTTTACCTATGAGATTAGGAATTGCAGCCATTAAAAAGCATTTCCGATAGAAACTCCTCTGCTGGATACTAAAAGGTCTGAGAGACTCTGTACTCCTGCCCCTGTAGCCCATCACCACCGGTGGGGTGACCTACCATGACCAGCCCTGGCACAAGGACTGCTTCCTGTGCACGGGCTGCAAGCAGCAGCTATCCGGTCAGCGTTTCACCTCTCGGGACAACTTCGCCTACTGCCTCAGCTGCTTCTGCAACCTGTACGCCAAGAAGTGTGCATCCTGCACCACCCCTATCAGCGGTATGGGACACCCTGCACCCTTAGACCCAAGAATTTACAACCTAGAGAGGGGTTCTCATTACTTTGTCTTAACAACCTTTCTAGCTACTGAAAGGGAACTAAGCAATGTAAGTTACCCATATACAGTGTTTAATATACTACACATCTATCTTCGAATCATATTCTAATGAAGTATTTTTGCACAAGAACTCATTACACTCTGAGTACAGGAGATCCACTTTAACTCTTTAGGTTCTTTTACTGTGTCTGATTGCTTCATAATCTCTACAATTTTCCATCCATGTTTAATATCTATAACCAAGAAATCGTGTAACCACACTAATATCTAAAATCGTTATTCCCAGAGTGCTCTGCTCTACATCCATCCTCTACCGAATAACAGGAGACACTGATGAACTTCAGACACTTTAAACTTTTAAGAATCTTATATATTCTAGCTAGTTGAAGGGATCTCATGGAGATCAGGGGTGCAGTAGCTGGTTCTTCTTGATCCGGGTGCCACCCGTGTCATGGCCCATCTCCATGGAAACTGGCTAACATTCGCTAGGCCAGATGGGACCACGTGCCCCATCTCCTCGCTGGGCTGCTGATCACCGGCCTTGCGTCCCACCTCAATGGCCCCCTTGTCTGCGTCCCCCTTTCAGGGTTGGGTGGGAGTAAGTACATCTCCTTTGAGGAGCGCCAGTGGCACAACGACTGCTTCAACTGCAAGAAGTGCTCCATCTCCCTGGTGGGTCGGGGCTTCCTGACCGAGAGAGACGACATTCTGTGTCCCGAGTGCGGAAAAGACATCTAAAGGCAACGAGGACGGAGAGGAAACTGCCGATCGCGGCCGGTGTTAATCATCGCCCGCGTGCCAGACCTGAGCAATACCACCCTATAGCTGTCCAATGACAGACATGTATCTCCAAAAATCCATTATTTCAGGAGTGGGAAAATATGCATTTTCTCAGAAAATACTTCACAAAATAAACACAATGAGACACCCTTTGCACCATAAATAGAAACCTATTTTTACACAGTAGATGGTTTAATGTTTTCAATGGACTTATGTGGATTGTTTTCAGTGAGGAAAATATGTGAACAAGATACAAACTAGTCTCGCTTCTTTAAATTCACAATTAACAATGACATGTGTCAGCTGCCTATTTAGCTATCAATGTTAAGTTTTTAAAATTACCAATATAAGGTATTCCATACAAACAACTATTGTGAATACAAATGTTAACTAGCACAAACATAAACACTAGTTAAATAGATTACTTCATACAAACATCTTTTCATTGGTCAATTAGATCGCAAACATCAGTAGACAGAATGGTTGTGGCGCATCTATAGTAAAAAGTCACAATATGCAAAAACTGAACATACATAGTCTTCATCGGACAGCAATGTTATGCTGCCCTCATAGTAATCCCCTGCAGATTATCCATACTCACCGAAATCACCATCAGACAATCCTAGCTCATTTCAGAATAACCTGTGAATATTCTGGTTTTCTGCATGCACTGATTTGACTTTCTTGGAATAAGTTTGGAGTTTTAAACTTGACATATAAATGAACTAACAATTCAGTTTCAAATTTTTTAAGATTAAAATGTTTATCTGATTCATTTTTTTTGTTTTGAATTTTCTCTATTATCGGTCCTGTTGGCTTTTACAGTTAGAGATGGCACAACCTTGATTATTGTCCAAGCCATATCTCAATAATGCTTTATTATACAAAAGAAACTAACCCATGCTGTGGCGAAAAGAGTAGCAGCTATGCAAAGGTGCATACAATTTCTATATTTTATCGGAATATATAACAATTACTTTGTGTGCAAATGTAATAAAGTAGGTTGAAAATGCATGTAGTGTATTTTTTCATTTTCTTTTTAACAAGTCAAATGCATACAAGAATGTGACCTTCGTCTTATGGCTCTATCACCAGTCTCTTCTTTAATCACCGGGAGGGATTAATGACAGTGCTTTGGTATGCCATGAGCACCAGGAGGGATTAATGACAGTGCTTTGGTATGCCGTGAGCACCGGGAGGGATTAATGACAGTGCTTTGGTATGCCGTGAGCACCGGGAGGGATTAAGGACAGTGCTTTGGTACGCCGTGAGCACCGGGAGGGATTAAGGACAGTGCTTTGGTACGCCGTGAGCACCGGGAGGGATTAAGGACAGTGCTTTGGTACGCCGTGAGCACTGGGAGGGATTAAGGACAGTGCTTTGGTACGCCGTGAGCACCGGGAGGTTCAGGAATACAAGGCATGATTCTAGCCAATCAGTAACTTGCATCCACTGCATCCATAACAATTATCCAACGAAGGGTCCCAGTGAGCCTGGATTTTGGAATAAAATGCCTATACCATGATGTCATCCTAGGGTGGGTGTTTCGGTGTGTTAGGTGAGCCAGGCCCGGATCCTGGCTTAGGCAAACTAAGCATTGGCACGAAGTGAAATGATGTCACTTTCTTGATAGGGGGTGTCCCATGTAAAGCACAGCCTAGAGCCCCTGAAAAGATAGAGCCAGCCTATGAGTGGGCATCAGAGTTTGCATTGTGTCAGAGGTCTTGGGGGGGTTCCCTGGGGGGCTCGGGGGGTATTTCCTTGGATGGTTCTATTAAATCAGTAACGATAAGTTAAAACTGGACAGTCTCTGTTGGGTGCGTAGACAATCTGTTTGGCTGGGGGTGGTGTGTGGCGTGTAGTCCCATCCCTGTTGGCACCATAGGGGACATGCCATTCCTGCTCAGGACACACACACACACACACACACACAGACGCGTGCACACACACATACGTACACACACACACACACACACACACACAGTCTTTTGCGAGTCTTTTGGTATTTTTAGTTTTTTGATTGCAGTCACAGATTTTTATAAAATTGAATTTTCCCTTGTGGAGACCGAAAATGGTCCCCACAACATTTAAATAGAGACACCAATTCAAATGACAACACTGCAGATGTGAAACTACAGCACCCATCAGTGAATTCCCATAGTCAGTGAATACTCATATGCTACAGCTGAAAAAAAGAGAAAAAGAATCCTATACCTCCTATACAAAACGTTAATGACACAGTACAGTGAAAGTGCATAAATATAGTCTCCATGACATTCCATGGCTTAGCTAATGCTTTCATTCAAAGTAATTCACAGTCTTACCCCTTCAGATATTTATTGGATATTTTTACTGCCTGATTCACAATCCCTCCATTCTTTTACTCATTCAGTCCACTTGTTAATGACCAGACTACTGCTACCAGCACTGGTAAAAAAATATGGCATTGATGTTGCCTGACATTTTGGAGTGTTTCATAGAGCGCCTGGTGCTCTTATTTCCCAAAGAAATTCCTGCTATTTATGGAAATTCGATGGAAGAGTTTAGAAGTTTAGAGAAGAATAAATGCTGCTGAGGAAAAAATTCAGGGGGTTGGGTGCTAGTAATGAAATATGGGCTACTGTGTCCCAGAAGACCTTGTGAACCAATCTTTGTCCTAGAAGACATTCCCCAGCAAGGAACAAGATTCCTTTTGGTGTTTAGGATTTGATATGAAGACCATATTTCACATGCCATTGTCCCATATTGTGTCTTCACTTACCAGATCCCACACATTTTTCACGTATCCTATCCTATCATTTTGTGGTCAAGGACAAGTGTTGGGTACTTAAAACGCTGGGACAGGTGCTGCTGTCCATGTCACACCTGTGCTGTCATTTTCTTTGTCATTTTATTGTGGCATTAATATAAACCAGAAGTGTCAGTTCCCAATTCTGTATTAAGTCTTCTGCTAAGACTTAATTTGCTGTGATCTTGCTGTTCTTGTCTGGCAGAAGCCTGTCTGCATTTCTGCAGTTTTGCATTGAGGTTGTTGTGTCCTGGTTTCTGTCCAGTCAGCAGGCCAAAGCCCATCAGTTACCGGTTTCCCGTGAAGGTCTGTTCAATGAGACCATTGGCGGAAAACAGGACAGAGTAGGTGGGACAGTCTGTGAAGGACTTGCTTTCTGTCAGTCACTGAAACTAATTAAGCGAGTTTTATCAAAAAGCTTGAACAGAACGCAACAATACACAAGTATTCTTCCTTGGCTGGAGTCAAATCTTAGTTTGTTAATTTTGACATATTCAAATTTATAAACCCATTTGAATTTATGGCAGCGAACAAACACAGAACTAGCTTGTAGATGGATGGATGGAGTGTCTCAGTAATGCATCCAACCAAAACCGCAAATAAGGACATGCTGGAGGGACTATACCTTTCAGCTGTCTTCTGAACATCTGGGGATCCCTGAGAATGAGCCAAATTGATCTTGCAATGCACAATATCTTTTTTTGAACAGAAGTCATTTGTTTGCACAATGACAAACAAAACAGCCAACATTAATGATATGATGCAGAAACATTGCAAAATTAAAATTACAAATCCATGCATATTCCATTCCACATTCTCTATAATGTTTGTGCCATAGAGGCTGGATGTAATTTTATCAATGATAAAATTATCTGCTAGATAATGAAACCCTTCTATCATTTTTGGTCTGTCAATCAAGGAGGTTATATTTAATCTGGCAAAGCTAATCTTCCTAAACTCTGGGCATTACCTACCCTATTCCCAGTTCCAGCAGCTGCTTTTGTTATCTCCATCGTTGTCAAGTGAAAGGCATCTTTAAATAGCAACATGAGGACAGATAAAACTGCTGTTTTAATGCCATTCCAAGAACTGCTACAAATACTTCTCTGCCTCATTACATCCTTCATGGAAGTGAGGTTATTCACCTCAACTGGCAACCCTGAATTTTTACAGAAAAACATCCAGTGTTGAAATCCTTAGTTTTCTAGGAGCAATTAATAGATTTTTATCTATGTGTACATAATGATGTACATAATACTATCTAACTCCTCTATGTGTAACAAAATTAGAGAAGATAAACTTAAATGCACTTCAATTTCAGAATGAAACTTGAGACAGAAGGGGCATTGGCTTTATTGACTTGCCAGCCTTCTTGAAAAAGCTCATGGTTGAGATTCTCTTCAAGCTTGTGTACATAAAAGCCGATTTCCAACCCCTTGTGTCACAGTGTATCTGCCGTCCAGCCAGACCACGCTTCAAATCCCCCATCACGGTCCAGCAAGCTATAACCACTCTGAATTTCCAACCTGTCACGTTTGGAAGCCCTTTGGTGACAGTAATTAAAGAAACTGCAGCCTGGTGTCGATGGCGAATGTGGTGGGTGATGTGAAAGTAATAATGACAGAAAGCGTCATCGATGGAAGGCAGTGCTGGGAAAAGCACGACCATTATCAGGGCGGCAAAAAGAGGAAGTCAGCACCATGCATTGTGCCCATATGAGTTTATTGTAATCATACCATGTCAGAGATGACAAGTATTTATTGGAATTTTGCCAGGTTCCTCTGCATACAATGATCACAAGGTGGTTACTGTAAATTAAAGATCCATATCGGCAGCAGTTTGTTAGTACATGAGTGCAGCAGCTAAAGCCAGTTAACATTTAAGGTGTGAGTGGCAGTGATTTAATTAGATGAGTCGCATTCTGACACGTGCTTCTGGTCTAGCTATGTGATTCACTGTGCTGTGTGCTTCACATGCATGTCACTTTGGCTGGTACCTGTTATCCCTGAGGGAGTGGGTGGGGCCTAGGTCTATCGATCGCACTGGACCTTAAATGAACCCAGACCTGGAACCCCAACCTAGCCCACCAATTTGACTATTCCATGACCCCTTTCAGTGTTTGAGTTACCCTGAATATTTAGACTGAAATTGCAATCTTCTACATTGACTCCTCTCCATTGCTTTACATATATTTCCACTCAAATCCTAACATAAAACCCATTTTTCTAGATCCCATCCCTTGCATCATGGGACCCTTTTCACTGCCCCAGTTAATGCAAATCAAACATCAAAAGCTAATGAAAATGAATGAATAAGAGTTGCTGCTGTTTATGGAGTTAGCTGGTTTAATTGTTTTGTAAACCGCACAAATAAGGATCTGATACTTACATCAGGACTTCATTCCAGGAAGAGATTAATGTCACAAAGTTGGATCTGGTATAGCAGCTCATTGAAATACCAGTCATAGGTCTCTGGACGTCCTCCGGCATGAGAACTGGTGGGAGGTGGATGAATGAGGGAGGGTGACGTATTGGATGGATTTTGCACCTGTCTATTTTGGCTTTCTTGAAGGGGCTTTGGTCCTGTTTTAGGTTTTGTTTCATCCTAATAAAGTAATTTATTTATTGAATTCCAATTATGTTATGCTGTTGTCCAGATCAGGTAGCAGATCTCTACCCTGTAACCTATGCAGAATAACTATTTTTAAGATAAAGACATATTAACCAGCCCAAACGTTCCCTGGTATCTGGTTAGCTAGACGGGAATATGACAAGCCTTCGACAGACTTCTTGTAAAGTTCATCATAGTCTGTATTACACAACCTGAAAATATATTATTATGCATAACCATGAGCAAAATACATGCAATACAATAATTTAGGTGCTGCAGCAGCACATTGGATTCGTATAATTTATATTACTACCAATTTCCAGTATATTTCAGTGTTGTCTTATAGTCTAAAGATGTCCCTAAGTGTGCCACCATGTGTCTTAATTGTGAGTGTAAGTCTTAGTAATGTTCTAATATAATTCAATTTACGATATACACGTATAAAGTAATAACCCATTCTGTAAAAAATAAAGTCGCCAGTTATTTCTGAATATTTCGATGACGTAGTACTGCATATAGCACTTTAAAACTAGATACATTTTCAGCATACAAATACGATGTATCATGGTGAATAAAAAAACTAAAATATACATGGATCACATGGTAGAGTAGTATA